TTTTTTGTTGTTTTGATTGTGATAGAATGCTTTACTTTAACCAAAAACAGGATTTTATTAATACACTGGTTTTGTCTGGACTAATCCTTGACAACTAGAAAGGGTCAAGTAAGCAATAACAAGATTCTCATATCAAGACAAGTCAAATACTAAAAAACACAGAAACATAAGGAACACTCTAATGAATTTTAAAAATTGCAAAAAAACACCGTAGCTTGAGTGAAAAAAAAAAGGTTATGAATGTATGTGGTTGACTACAGTTTGGGCATCAGGTTGCTGCAGTGAAAAACAAACCAAAACTAAACAATCGCTATATAGCAGGACACCAGTTGAGTGAGTAATGTCTGTAGTGTTGTCGGAGGTAAGTGCAACTACCCAGGCCCTGACTCAGAAGGTCTACAACCGTTACTTTTCCAATGGTTTTTAATAACATTTCACTGCTAATGAGGGTAGTTATGGATGCAGTATTGATATCTATTAGCAATTGTCATAGGTGTCTATTCAAACCTAAGGCCATAGCTTCCCCTTTATACGTGAGCTGGTTGATGGGCTTATAGTTGTTGCTATATATAAACATTACTGAACTTATAACCAAGAGAAACTTGAAGGAACTCTAAAAAGATCATGTTATAGTGTTATAGTGCGAGGAGTCTCCCTTTACTAAAATCATTAAACAAATGTGATGTCATGTCCTTAAGATCATTAAGGTAAAAGTGCAGCTCAATTTTCAAATATACCATGACTGTTTAGTAAACTGTCTTGCATTAGGTTTACTTCAGAAATATTTATTATGCCCTTGCTGTCAGACAGGCATTCATAGCTATAAGGGGCTCTTCAGATTTAAAATTTGGCACAAGAAAGAGGAATTTCAATTGGAATACGGTGGAACGCCAGTGTTGCCTGGGCATGCAGTCCACTGCTGTGCGCAAACTCCATGCCTGCCAAATCATAGGTGTGCCACCTTCGATGCTCACAACATTTCCTGTGTGCCTTAGACATAAAAAAAAGAGCTGCATGGCCTGCTAAGTAATTTTGCAAGTAGGAACTGAGGTTGTGGGATTTAAGAGCCGGGATTTAAGGTATTATGGGGTGGAGTTTCCTCAGATAATTTGCATATTTTATTATAGAGGGGCAGTTAGTTTATGGTATGTAGAGGCTACTCATTCACCTGAAGTTAGAACATCCCTCCTGTACTGACACTATACGCTGGAAAAAAAATGTTATAATGACAAGTAGTGATGTCACGAACTGTTCGCCGAACGGTTAGCGAACGGTTCGCCACGGACTCATCATTGAGTAAACTTTGACCCTGTACCTCACAGTCAGCAGACACATTCCAGCCAATCAGCAGCAGACCCTCCCTCCCAGACCCTCCCATCTCCTGGACAGAATGCAGCTTCACAATGGATGCTGTCCAGGAGGTGGGAGGGTCTGGGAGGGAGGGTCTGCTGCTGATTGGCTGGAATGTGTCTGCTGACTGTGAGGTACAGGGTCAAAGTTTATTCAATGATGAGTCCGTGGCGAACCGTTCGTGGCGAACCGTTCGCGAACCGTTTGGCGAACAGTTTGGCGAACAGTTCGGGACATCACTAATGACAAGCATAGCATTACACATCCACATTGAATATTTGTACTTTTTCATTTTTGCTGAACTTTTATCCAAAACACCAAGATCTAGAGATTAATATTTTACTTGCGATTATTAAAAAGGACTGTTATTGATTTAGACCAACTTGCTAAAAGAGGCAACAAACATTTTTCCAATGCTATGGATCTTCTTTCATTTTAATTTTCATAACATTTCCTTCAAAGTTTACCCAGTTTTTCTTTTTCTTTTATTTCTCCCTCTTTTTCTTCCCCCCACCCCCCATAACCATACAGATTTTTCTTTGCAATGGGAGGGAGGGAAGAATGTACTCAACATAATGCTAATTTGTGATGGATAAGTGGGTGGATGAATGTTCTTCTCGAATCCTTTCAGGGAATGAAAACAAAAATAAAACCAAAAACAATTGAATAACCCGTACTCTACCATCTCCAACCATTTATTCTCTTCTAGGAATCTGAAACAAAGATAATCGTAGAACAGGCATCAGGAGCAGCAAATGAGTACCATCAACTTTATTTACAGACAATTTAAGAAACTTAAAAATCAATTAACCTATTTTTCTTGAACAGATTTACTCAAGCATGTCAAGGATTAATGAGAATATCACTAGAGGCATGAAACAAGGCAAACACTAAGACAAAGTGAAATTAAAGTTTGAAAGTTGCATGTCCGTACACAGACAATAACCTAGATTATTGACATCCCAGAGTTGGTAACATCTTCCATACTTTAAAAAAAATTACAGACATGACTGCCCACAGCGTAACAGCTCCTCTCCAAATGGAAAGGGCACACAACTGAGAGACTATACCACTAATAACACTATTTATTTTTTTTTTTTTTAAAACAACAAAATAAATCTCCAATGTGATAACCATTCAATTCTTCTTTTTTTTTTTTTTGCAGACTGTCTTATAAGACTATTCAGCCTAAATACTGTCCTGTTGGAAGGATGTCAGGTCAATTATCAAGACAGGGACATGCTTTGTTCTTCTATATCCTAAACTTTTAGTAACAATAAGAGGCCAAACCCTTGCTGACAGATTCACTTGAAGAAGCCTAGTCTTGTAAATAAAATGCCAAGCGACTATACCATCAACTTCAAGCTCACCTAAATCATAAAACTCTGCTGTATTGAACTTGACATATCCTTCACACCTTTATAGTCTTTTTTTTTTTGTGTACATAATTCTGATTTATGGTGGTTCCTTTTCACATGGTCATGAAGTATGGATTCTCCGGGCACCGTCTGGAGCTCCTTTGTTCAATTTGGGATAGATGGAGTGTCTAATATTTTAGTGTGCGACAAATATGATTGGCTGATGCTCCCTGCTAAAATAACATATCCACTTGCTTTCTCTTTGATTATAAACTTCAAAATTTCTACATAAAGATCTACATTTTGTTGTAATATTCCCTCTTAAAACGTTAAGTCTAAATGCATCTGTATGGCATCTGGTGTAAATGATAGCATTTGATTTTAATAGTTTAACTTACTAAACATAATATATTTCTATTAGCAGGCTGAGACTCCATTTTCAAGTAAAGCACTTAATGATCACAGAAAGTACTTATATTTAGTAACACTTCTCTGAACAAATGAATTCTGACCAATCATAGATGACATAATTGCTGCATTTGGACACTCCGTAAAATCGTTATGGGATTCAGTTTTATTTATAAATTATAAAGAGGGATACTGTATGTAAAGTGGTGTTAAAATATGAATTATTCCTAAGTACTGGTCTATCATAAAGTAGAGCAAATAACTGAAAAACACACTTATTGAATCAAGTTAAAATGGAAAAATCTGCATATGGATTAATTCACAAGTTCAGTTCTCTTAAATTTTGTGGTATGGTAAGAAGATAGCATGGATTCACTAGGGGGACACATATTCCCTACTCTAGTCAAACTTGTGCAGTCATTGCTTCTATTATGTACATAGTAACTGTGAAGAAATCCCTATTAGTTCTGTGAAGAAATCCCTATTAGTAGAAATCACCTTAGTTCTTCTTTATTCATTCGGTAGATCTAACTACCGAACAAGGACCACCCCCCTGGCTCATTAAGCTTCAAAGGATTTGTCAATTGACCCCTCTGTCATCTGTGCGGCCAGTGTTCGTACTACCGAACGGAGAGCTATATTCACTGATGCTCTAGCAGTTCAGGAGGAAACTTCCGAATGAGGATTACATATACCAGGTTTCCTTACAGTAACATTGATTAGAGGAGACTGCTTGGAGATGCTTCTTCAGTACATATTTCTATAAAAATTTGGGGCGGGTGTCATTTATTTGTCATTGTGAGTTTGCTGTTGTGTATCATGCAATATGTCCACTTAATTGACACCAGAGGCTTACATAATAATTCATGAAAAATTGTTTGATAGTGCACACATGGCACATCCTGAAATCCACAATCCTAAGTAGATTCATCCATGTTATCTAGGTGAGGAATGTCAGGGTTGGCTAGAGAATCTTCAGCAAGGTGAGAGGAAGCAACCCGGCAAAGAAAAAGACAGAGGATAGAGTGTCTGGGCTTAAAGCAGGAACCAGAAACTAACAGGACTAAACTAGACAAATAGACAAAACAGTGTACCAGACAAAGAATACTGTCTGGTATTGGAACAAATGTAGTCAAAACAGATCAAAGCTAAGATTATGGACTGGAACAGGCAGATGAGTCGAGTCTGGTACACAAACAGTGTAATCAAACATCCAGCAATTAAATCAGAAAGGTAGCACCTGTGTACACACAGGGTACCTGAAAGAAATTCGAATAATCAGATGGTAAGAATCAGTGAGAAACACCCCTGGAATCATCCCAGGATCACAAGTTCCAGAGTGGCACAACACACAGTGTGCAACAGTAAAAGTGAAAACTGGAGGTTCAAGTCCCACCAGTGGCAGGTTTCCTGACATATGAGCAGTTTTTAAGGGGCCACAATGGAGTGTCTGGAGCCACTGTTTCTGACAAGTCTCCATGATAATATTTTACCTTCAGTGAATGTTTTTTTTTTTCAATTTGACAATTTTTATTTTGTCATAAAAATGCAATAGAGGGGTACAGAAAGGAAGAAGGGAGGGGGTGATTAACAATGGAACATGCATCCTACGTCATTTCGTCGTTTAACAATTCACAGTCATAGTAAATGCTCATTTCTACTTGTGCGGGATATACATTGACAGTTGTGGCTTTTTGTGTATGTTTATTAGTGTTCGCGTCTACTCTCAGAATTGCTACTGTGCGTGTGATTGGCCACCACATGTTGATCTTACTTCAGGTCGGGTGCTTCAGTTCCCAGTTTTCCCATACCTCATGTCTCCAGCTTTTATTAGGTGGTATGCGGGATATGCTAGATTCGAATTTTCCGATTTGGGATATGTGTCTGATCAGTTCTCGCATTGTTGCGTTAGTGGTCGATAACCAGTTTTTTGCAATGAGACTTTGGGCAGCTACTAGTATGTGGAGTATAAGGTATTTAATCTGTTTCGGGTATTCGGTACCCAACATAAATAATAGCAAGGACTTTGGGGAGTTTGGTATTGTAATTGAGGTGTGTTGGTGTATCAATAAGATAACCTCTTTCCAGTATGGCTGTAGTTTTGTGCATTTCCACCAGGTGTGTAAAAAGGTACCTGTTTCCTGTTTGCAACGCCAGCAAATGCTAGATTTCTGTGGGTCCATGGTGGCTAGGCGTGTTGGGACCATGTCCCAACGGTAGAAGAGTTTACGTGTTGTCTGTAAGTGCGAGGCACAGAATGTCAGGCCTCTAGTCGCATTTGCTGCGGCCAGCCAGGTCTGCTCTGATAGTGTTTGTTCTAGGTCTTTTTCCCAGGAGCGTACACATGTAAGGGATTTAATCCCTTGCTGGGGCTGTAATAGTTTGTATATGGTGGAAATGGGCTTTGCGACTGGCGCATCTGCTATTATGCCTTTTTCAAAGGGCGTTAAGATAGTGGTGGTAGACGATATGGGACGTGTGACATGGATTTTCCACCAGGAGTGCAGCTGAAGATAGGAGTAGTATGCTGTGTTCGGTAGTGTGTATTTGGTTTTCAGTTGGTCGAATGTGGCCAGCTCGCTTTTTTCTAATAGGGAGTGTATATAAAATACCCCACATCTGTTCCATACTCTATAGTTAAAATCAGGTATCATTTGCACCAGAGTTTTAATTGGGGTTGAGAAGGGGGTTGGGTGGCAGCTGCACAGGAGTCTGCGGGTGTTATCCCAGATTTTTAGTGTTGTTAAGGTGGCGGGGAGTGCTTTCGTGGTGTTCGACCTTAGATGGGGTGCCGTCCATAGTGTTGTTTGGATGTCTTGGGTGTGCAACCAGTGTTGCTCTAAAGAAACCCATTGAGGGAGGGACGTGCGTTGGTGAATGGGGAAGAGACCGGCCAAGACCGCTGCCCTGTAATACAATTTCACATTGGGGAGGCTCATGCCGCCCGTCTGCACTGGCCGGTGGAGTGTGGATAGGGCAATTCTCGGTCGCTTTCCATGCCATATAAATAGGTTAATTTGTTTCTGGAGGGATAAAAAGTAGGTGGATGGTATTGTCAAGGTGAGTGTCCTAAATAGATATTGTAGTTTGGGTAGTATTACCATCTTTACTGCTGCTATTCGTCCCGACCATGATATGAATTTATTCCTCCAGTTTAGGAGGGTGGTAGTGATGTCTTTGCTGAATTTGACATAGTTTAGGTGGTACAGGTTAGATATAGTGTGTGGGAGCTTAATTCCCAAAAAAGTGAGGTGATCTCTTCTCCAATCGTAGGAGAATTGGTTCCTCAGGTCTGATAAATAGTCGTCCTCCATCCCCACCCCCATGGCCTGTGTTTTAGTCAGATTCAGCTTGTAATATGAGCAATGGCTATATTGCTGCAGTAAGCTGTGGAATGCTGGTAAAGATTTGTGTGGGTTGGTTAGGGTCAGGAGGATATCATCAGCGAAAAGGTTTAATTTATATTCTGACCCTCCGATTTTTATACCTGTTATGTCTGGTGTTGATCGTATGGCCTCAGCCAAAGGTTCTAGGGCCATTATGTATAGGAGGGGTGAGAGGGGGCACCCTTGTCGTGTTCCATTGGTAATGGGGAAGGAACTCGATTGGAATCCAGACATGAAGACCCGGGCCTCAGGGTTGCTATATAGTGATTTGATCATGGAAATAAATTGTGAAGGAAATCCAAATTTAATTAGGACCGCCTGCAGGAACGACCAATGCAGGCGGTCGAAGGCTTTCTCCGCGTCTAAGGATAGCAGAAGGCTATTGGGGAAGCGTCTGTGCATGGTGTGTAGTAGTGCGAGGGCTTTCCGTGTGCCGTCTGCTCCCTGCCTGCCTCGTACAAAACCAACTTGGTCGGAGTGCACAATAGTCGGTAGAATGGAGGTCAGTCTGTTGGCATAGACTTTGGCCAGGATCTTCACGTCCGAGTTTAACAGGGAAATCGGTCTAAAATTAGCGCAGTGGGTTGATGGTTTGCCAGGTTTGGGTAAGGTGGCTACGTTGGCCGTGAGCATGTCCTGCGGTATGTTTTCCTGTGCTGTGGTGAAAGCGAAAAGTGATGTCAGTCGGGGGGTGAGGATAGAGGAGAACTTCTTGTAATAGGTGTTTGGCAGTCCGTCTGGACCTGGGGTTTTGTTTAGCGGTAAGTTTTGTATAACTGTGAGCACTTCTGTTTGTGAGATGGGCTCAGCCAGAAGGTCTTGTTGAGAGACTGAGAGTGTAGGTAGGCGGATCTTATCTAGGAATGTGGTAATTTCTCCTGTCGTGGGCTGGTGTACCGTGGAGTCGTCTTTAAGGTTGTAGAGTTTACTATAGAAATCAGCGAAGAGTTCGCTGATTTGCTGTGGTTGAACTATTTTCTGTCCATCGTGGGAAGAGAGGTGCGCTATTTTGGTTTGTGCTTGTGTGTCCCTAAGCCTGTTGGCCAGGAGTGAGCTGGCCTTGTTACCTAAACAATACTCCTTAGTTTTCAGTTTTTGGAGCAGTCGGGTGGTATTGGCTATATTTATGTCGTTAAGGTCTGATTGGGCTTGGGCAATGATTGCGGCATCTCCTGGGTTTGGGCGGAGAAGGTGGGACGCCGTGGCGTCTCTCAGTTTCCTTAGTAAGTTCAGGTATTTTGTTTGTGAGAGTTCTTTTTTAGGAAGGCGGACCGTCTTATAAACAGCCCACGCATCACGGCCTTATGGGCTCTCCATATCGTTGTCGGTGACATCCCCGATGTCTCGTTTTCAGAGAAGTAGTGTTTGAGTTCTGTTTCTATTTCTGATCTAAATTTATCGTCGTGTAAAATGGAGCTGTTAAGTCGCCATGGGTTACAACCTCTAAAGGTGAAGTCATCTTTGAATGTAGCGAGTACTGGGGCATGGTCTGACCAAATGATATCTCCCAAGTGGCATGTTTGAAGTAGGTTGAGAGAGGGTCCTGTTATAAGAATTACGTCTATCCTGGAATATGTCTTGTGAGGTTTAGAATAATATGAGTATTCTCTGTCTAGGGGATGGAGTAATCTCCAACAGTCATAAAGGTTGAATTTCAGCAACAGTTGTGTTATTGCTTTACAAGTTGGTCTGAGGGATTTCTGCCGGCTGGTGGTGGAGGGCATGGAGGTGTCAAGGGTTGGATCTAGGATGTGGTTTATGTCTCCACATATTATCATGTTGCCTCGCTGTGCAGCTGCCACTTTTGTGAGGGTATTGGCCAAAAAATTCCTCTGGTTTTCATTGGGTGCGTATAGGTTCACTACTGTGTATTGTACATTGTTCATTAGACAGATAACAACCAGGTACCTGCCTTGGTCGTCTGAGATAGCGTGTAGAAGTTCAAAGGCTACCGAGTTGTGTATGTAAATGGAAACCCCCCTGGATTTAGATGTATGCGTTGAGTGAAACTGATGGGGGAAATGCTTCATTCCAAATTGTGGGACTTTGGCTTTGGGGAAATGGGTTTCCTGAAGGCACAGTATGTCTGCTTTTGATTTCCGGGCTTCCTGAAGTAACATGTGTCTTTTATGGGGCATGTTAAGCCCTCGCACATTATGGGAATAAACTATCAGTGTGTGTTATAGGGGATACCGCTTTCGATAAAGTTAGCATCTTGAGGTGTGATTTGTTACATGCACCTTTGTCTGTAGAAAGAGGGTGTGTAGGTTCCATTTTGTATGACAGGTTTCTGCCCGGATGTTTGGACGGGGAAGGGGGGGGTAACGTAATTCGGGGGGGGTAGAACAAGAGTAGAAAGAAATAAAACTTGGATAACATAAGTATATACATATAAGCCCGATCTCGGTGCATGGCGCTGAGGCACAGCGCCGTGGGGAGCGTGGGATCGGAGATGGTGGATAGGTGATGGCCTGAGCAGGCTACTTGTATGCGGTGCAACGTGCACTGGTAGGGAGCAATAATAATCCGATGTGGTCTTGTGTGCTCTCTGAGTGTGGGTCATGAAATAAGTAAAGAGCACCATATGTAAATATAGTGAGATTTTCTTATGGGGTCTCAGTTGGCGAGGGGGTAGTGATCGGCAGTTTTAGATAGAGTTTGTATCGGGGGGGTCTCCCAGCTTTGCGTATAGGTCCACAGACTGGTCCTGTGTATATATTATCTGCCTTGTGGTGTTTGGTGTCTGTAGCTTAATATGGGGGGCTCTGTCCCTGATAACCCTTTGGGTTTCGGGGTGGTGGGAGCTTGGGTTAATTTGTAAATTATTCCCAACATAGGGCAGCCCAAGTCCGATGTGGTTGGGTGGTCGGGGTCAGGGTTGGCAGTCCATCCGTATTATTTACATCTCGGAGGCAATGTGTGCATCTGTCGGGGCGGAGCCCGGTATGTGGCTTTTGGGATATGCCTGCCGAGAAGGTCGGACGGGTCTCTGTCACTCATATAATTGGTTAATAAGCGCAATTACTGCGGCTATTGTCCTGGGAGTGCAGTAGTCATGTGGTGGCAGTGTAATAAGGTGCGATCTGGGTGTACACATGTTTCTGGGGGTTCAACATGGGTCGATACCCGTTAAACGTTTAGGCAAGTTACAATACATTATTGCTGGCACCTCCTGCACACAATATGAGCGATCATAAAACAACATAGAGATTGGCATTTGTTTGCGTACTGCGGCTTACAGTGATGCTAGACTATAACATGACTTGTCCTGCGAGTGTGTTGTCTGACCGACAGTGCTCAGTGTCTCTGACGTAAGTTAGGGGGCTTCTACCCTGAGTACCCTTCGGGTGCAGAGTGATGGGAACTTGGGTTAGTCTGTATGTTTTTCCCATCGTGTGGCAGCCCAAGTCTGATGAGGGTGAGTGGTCGGGGTCAGGGTTAACGATGCGTCCCTACTATTTGCCTTCGGGGTCATTGGGTGCATCAGTCGAGGCAGGGGCCGGTATTTGGCTATATGGACATGCCTGCTGAGTGGCTTGGGTAGGTCACTGTCACTTATGTAGATCGGTCGTTGTGCGCAGTGCTTGTTGCCGCTTCTGCATTTGTTGTCATGGGGGTGCTTTAGTCGTATGGTGACCCTCTAGTAAGGTGTAGCCAGGGATTGCCCGTGTTTCTGGGGGATGGTATGGGTCAGCACCGGGTGAACTATTGGGCACATTGTATCACTATATTGCTAGTACTATCTGCAAACAGCATGAACAGTTATAGAAACAACATAAAGATTATCATTATTTGCGTACTGCAAAGAGCAGTGATACTAAGCTGTAACAGGCCGGCCATTGGGACCTTAGCTGCCGGGAGTCATTAGTTATTATTAGCGTTATGTGGGTGTATCGACCGCCGGAGCGGATATACTTGCGGTAAGTCCTTAGTCGGCAACCTGCCAGTCTTTGCCCACTCTTCTCGGTGGTTTCGGGGTTGGAATTTCGCCTGTGTTGGATAGATTCCACTGGTGTAGGAGGTTCATGCCTTCTTCTGCCGTTTGTATCACGGTGTTGGCTCCGTTTCTGGAGACGATCAGGCGGACTGGAAAGCCCCAGCGGTATAGGATGTGGTTGGCGCGTAGAATTTCTGTCACTTGTTGGAAGGTTTTCCGTTGTTTCAGGGTGGCTGCCGAGAGATCTGAGAACATTTTGATGCCAGTGTATTCGGCAGGTAGGTCTTTCGCAGTTCTGCTTCTTCTCATCAGGAGGTCTTTTACGTGGAAGTAGTGTGCTTTCAACAGCACATCTCTGGGTAAGGATGTAGCTATGTGTTGGGGTTTTGGGACCCTATGCAGGCGATCCAGCAGCAGCATGTCAGCGGGTATTTCTGGGGTTAGGAGTTTGAAAAAGCCATGTACATGGCTAGGCAGGTCTGCTGGGAGGACCGTCTCTGGTATACTCCTCAGCCTAATATTGCTCCTTCTGGATCTATCTTCCAGGTCCATGAGCTTTGCTTCACATTTCTGAAGTTGGTCGGTGAGGGATTTGATGTGCTCTGCGGACGTGTTGTGCGCGTCGACTAGGTCTTCCATTTTGGCCTCCACGTGCGCTGTACGAGCTCCAACGTCTTGCAGGTCTCGTTTCAGTTCTGCAACGCTGGATTGCCAGGTGGCTACCAGTCTTTGGGATTGTTCGTCCAGAGCCCGTTTTAGGAAGGCTGCAGTGAGTGGTTCCCCGTCGTGCAGTGATTCTGCCTCTGACCTCGGGCTGCTTCCCCCTGAGAGGTCGGCGCCATCTTGGTGATCTGCCGCGACTAGTTGTCTCGCCAGGGCCGCCACTTTTTTCTGGGCGAAAAAGTTTAGCTTGTCGGGCTTGTCTTGATGCCGGCGGGTTTTGGATTGCGACATCGTCAAAGTGGAGTCCGATTTCTTGCAATAATCTCACTTTTATCTGGTATTGCCTTGCTCGTGGTGCGGAGCTAAGGGCTCATGCGACCATCTCTCTCCGTGCCTAGCCACGCCCCCCTTCAGTGAATGGTTTTGATCTTCCATTTCCATGTTTTACTTTAAATACTATTGATTTTGTTCAGAGGTTACATTATCTGATCGTTACTTAACTCTCCAGATTGGATTTAATCATGATATTTTGTTATTTGGCTTTCATGAAATCAATGAACAAAATACCCAATCATTCAATGCTACCTGAAAAGATCCCATGCCTATACTCTCAGGTAGCCTGTTGACACTCTAGACTTTCTTCAGTAGTCCTGTCATGCAAGGGTTTATGCCTCTCTTCCCATTGGTTCTAAGACATTCCACAGTTCCAAGATGTCGCAACATGAAATGAACTTACTAGGGGCAAAGGGTTCAATGGGTTAAAATAAATAGTTGGAAATTACCCCCAACGATATGCAAAAATATCTCTACAGATTAATGAAACCAACTGTCCTCACAATGTGAAGATGTGAAATGACATGTGCATAGTATGTTACAGTATTTCTTCTACGTGAGTACAGCATTTTAGCCACCGTTTAACTTTTTATTCTATGAAATAAATCCTGTCTCGTCTGCTTAGTCTCTTTAGCAAACAAGCATTTTACAAATGGGTGATTTAATAAGAATTGTGCTGAAAAACAAAACGTAAAAAAAATTAAATATGACTAGTTCATAAACAAACCATTAATCACAGTCAAATACCTCTTTGCTTCTGATAAATATTATCTTGTATTTTTGTACAAGAGACTTCAGGTCTAACCATGCAAAACATTCATACCAAAGTACTCCACGTCTTAATAAGCGATAAGAGGGACCTTTTACTTGACATCTCTGTGCTTATATTGAAACACAACGTTATTTGTTAAATAACCAAGGAGAAAAAGAGTAAGACACATCATAACATCTTATCTACCTAGGAAAGGAAATTGCCAGGAGATTTCATAGAAGAAATGTGAAAAAACCCCTGTCAATAAGTTAGAACAATACAAATCTCCTGGGTAGCTATAAAATTAAACGGAGGCTGTTTCACCTTGAATCTTGTCTCTGTTTTGAAAAATAGGTTGGACAAGCCTCACTGGTTACTGATGTCATCTCTATCTGAACACTTTTCTTTATGAGAAATATCTTTCTGATATAAATGATTTCTGTCTCCTTCAAAGAAAAAAAAAGTAGTAGATCCCTATCTTAAACGTAAAGTGTTGTGTTTTTGTTTTTATTTATTTTTTTTCGATCGTGTTGGAAAATGTTTGTCATGTAGAAAGATTTTAGCAATATTTTACTATTATCACATTTAATATAAAATTGCTGCTACTCTTATTTTTGGAAGTATATTAAAGGAACTAGAGGCACCCAGACCACTTAATCTCAATCAAGTGGTCTGGGTGCCATGTTCTCTCAATTTCAAACCTGTAGCTGAAAGGAGCACAAGAGGTGCTTCTGCCAAAATAGTATACCTCTTAAAAAACACTTTAAACAATAACCTGATTTCAGCACCGAAATCCCTCTGCACTGGGTTCAGACTCATCCTCCCTTAACGGCGGCCATGCGCACATTGTTCCCCTTAGGAAAGAATTGCGTCAATGCTTTCCTGTGTGGTTCTTCAACATGCTGGATGTTCTCATGCCAAGCATTATTTCACAGAGTCGAACTTTGTGAAACTGCAGGAAGTGCCTCTACTAGCTGTCTGGCAGACTGCGACTAGAGGCCGTCTTAGCACTGCAATGTTTTAGATTGCAGGGTTTATGGAACACAGACACTGATTTGAAGGGATCTTGATGCCTAAGTGAGTGTGTCTGTGAAGTTGAAAGGTAGGTGTGTAAGATGTTGTCTATGTTTTGTGAGTATATGTCTATTTATGTGTGTACTTATATTCATGTTTCTGTATGTGTGTGTCTGTGTGAGCATGTGTTTGTGTGTATCTTTGTCTGTGTGAGTGTACGTCTATGTATGAGTATGTTACTAATTTGATGTGTGTTTGTGGCTTGTTGTGTGTGTGGATAATTTTCTACTTATGAAAGTGTTTGGCTTAGATGCAAGTGAGGTACTAAATATTTGCATGGCTAATTCACAGTGTGGGTATGGTTTTAGGAGGTTGTGTTTGGTTGGTAGAAAAATGCAGTTTTGCACCATAGTCTGGCAATATAAAGAAGAAACCATTTAAAATCAAACAATCTATGAGGCATGTTTATGCCTTTCTAGCTACTCTACCACTGGGAGATTCACAAGCATTGTTTTTTTTCCCAGCAGCAATGGTAAAGTGGAGCTACTAGAGGTTTGTCCAGAGAAGGTGACAAGTAGAAGGCGATAAATAGAAAGAGAACTATCAATTCCAACAAATATTCCTCCAAACCAATAAGATCTATAAACTTCTTATCCACCACAATATTCTCTAGTGACATTAATCCTTTACTCCTGCACAGCCTTGTTTGCTTGGCTGCGGAAATCCTAACCTAGTGCTAGATCTCCAAAGACCTGGGACACAAAGGTGGCGATTTGGCCTCTACATCTCATCATACATGGAAGTCTCTCCAGTTGTATCACCTTCCAGTGGTGATCTCCATCAAAGGGAGATAAGAGATGTGGCAACATGCCAACATGGCAGGGCCCCTTGAAAACCGGGTATCCCTGAACGTATAAGAGGTGGGACAACCCAAAAAAAGAGGCCAAGCCTTTTGCAAACCATGTGGACTCACTCATAAAGTGGACATTTCAAGCCTCAAAGTGAGTGAAGCTAACTAGCCTCATGATATCCACAGTGGGGTGTTGCCATGATGCATATGGACTAATAATCAAATACATTTTAATTGCTTTATTTAAACCAGAGGATGATTTTTACCGATAACTTCTGTTATCAGTGGCTGGTAGTTATCCTACTTTAATGTTATATTGGTCAGCACATATGGCTTAGCAATATATAGATAAGCATATGCATATATTGAAATTAAACTACAAATTCAGTAATAATATATATTTTTTAATTGAAGACCATGAATACTTTGATGTTTTAAATGTTTTGTAAACAGACTTTCTTGGCATTGACAAGAATGTGGTGCAGTAATTTAATAAAAATAGGTTGGAATTATTATCAATGGTTATACATTATAATAATAATAATAATAATTTCATTTCTATTGTAATTTTTCGGAAGAAAGATAATGAGATGAAAATACCATGCTATTAAACTATTTTTATATTGGATTGTAATGAGTATAGAATATTGAAGAAAATTAATTTATTATTAGAGCAATAAAGAAAGTTTCTCTTCAAGTTTAAAATAAGTTAATCTTTTATTCTGTCTCTTAAAATGTCAGCCTAAATCTGAGTGCTGAAATTTCATTGCATTTTAGTTGTATGTGTAATGATTTGGCAATATATATATAATTGGACCGATTTTTCAAACTCAATGTTTGGGATTTAATAAAGATGAAAAAACACACCATGACAAAACCATACACACACTCATAATAATTATGTACTAGCAGAGAAGCTGACTGTCAAAGTAAACATTACCATATGTAGCAGCCCAGCATCATCTCTGACATTTGTAGCTATATTCTCGCCTCAAATTATAGTCTACAATGTGGGCAATTTTACAGATGCTTGATACAGTACGTATACTATGCAACACTGTGCATGGACGTTCTATCATATCACAAGATCAATAACCAATAAACAGCCTTTCTGCTTCCGATAACCTCATAACTCCCAACTGCATAGGTTCTGGTTCGGCTGCTACAATAGGGGGTTTGTGGACAACAGGGTTGGAGAAGAGGGGAGCAAGAAAAGTGCCATTTCTTCTAGGTCTGTTTCTGATCTTTTCCCTTTCTCTTAGCCTGTTATCTATCTGTATTATAAGCTATATACTCGTTAAGTTTTTCTGGCAAGTTCCTGGTAGCAACCTCATCTAGAATGGTATCAGACAGACCTTCAGCAAAAGCGGTGACGAGGCAACTGTTTGTCCAATCCAAGGGTACGAAACTCAATGGCATAATCAGCAACGCAGCGATTGCGCTGTTTTATGTGCATGGGGGCTTTGGCTGCATCCTTTTCCTTACCCAATGGCTCAAAAGTTACTGAAATTAGGGGGTGGTGAGAGGTATATAGTTGGTGCCTTGTATCCTATGGGTACAACAGTGACAGGAGGAGCTGGAGGAGGCCATTGATCTTCCGGTTGGGGGTGAGCAGTATGGGTCAACAATGTCTGAAAGGCCTGGGCAAATTCATCAATATGGTGATCATTGTCTTCCAGCCTTCTTTTTTTTTTCTACATCAGAAATTGGACTTCTGCCTCTTTATCTCAAGAATATCTTTGTCAAGTATCAAATCATCATTTGTTTCTTTTCCCTTCTATTATATCAATCCTAATTGTTAAATGCAGAAACAAGAGTGAACAAAAATACAAAGAAGAAAGAAAAAAGGATAGATTATGTAAAGAAAAAAAAATAGAAACAACACAGAAAGGATAGATAGGGGGTTTAAGTCTATTTGCTTTTTCCTCAACTGTACATTAATCTCCATAAAAAAGCCTAATGGTTAACTATCTATTCAGGGTCCTTCCACTGAGTAAGCCAGGGCTCCCATACCTTAAAGTAATACTCTCTTTTCCCCTGGGCTGCCTAGTGGATTTTCTCCATTTCCATCGTCTTTTCCACTCTCTGTATCCATTGTTCTTTGGTTTGAGCTATGGCTTTACACCAAAGGACGAGAATCATAACATTGGCTTCATTCAATAAATAGTTCAGCAGTATCTGTTTATGTTTCTCTTTAAAAGAGGCTGGTCAACCCAACAATATCTTAGAAAAGATTAATTGTTTAAGGGTTGGTAGAATCTTATATATGTCCCCTAGGACATGTTGCCAATATGATCTAACATGGTTACATTCCCACCAAATATGTTCCATATCCCCTTGTTT